TTTCTTCACTGCAATCACTCCGAAAAGCCAAAATGTGCTCTCTTCACTATGATCACTCCGAAAGCTCGACCTTTGATCCTAAGATTAACATAATGCAGAAAAATGAATATCTGAATCTGAATAAATAAAAATAAATAAAAATGAACGAAATATACTTCCCTCAAAAGCTCCGGTGCTACACTAATATTAATCATCATAGATGCTTTAAGTAAAATGTAAAATAATTGTGCCAACAAACCAAGTTTCCTTCACCTAATTCTGGAGAATCCATACATGATCAAGCCGAACTTTCTTCACTGCAATCACTCAAAAAGCTATGATCGCTCCAAAAGCCCGACTTTTGATCCTAGATTAACATAATGCAGAAAAGTGAATATCTGAATAAATAAAAATAAATAAAAATGAACGAAATATACTTCCCTCAAAAGCTCCGGTGCTACACTAATATTAATCATCATAGATGCTTTAAGTAAAATGTAAAATAATTGTGCCAACAAACCAAGTTTCCTTCACCTAATTCTGGAGAATCCATACATGATCAAGCCGAACTTTCTTCACTGCAATCACTCAAAAAGCTATGATCGCTCCAAAAGCCCGACTTTTGATCCTAGATTAACATAATGCAGAAAAGTGAATATCTGAATAAATAAAATAAATCAAAATAAACGAAATATACTTCCCTCAAAAGCTCCATTGCCACACTAATAGTAATCATCATGTGGGCTTAAAATGGTTTAAGTAAAATAACTATAATAACAAACCCGGATTTCTTTCACTGTTAACTAGAGCTTATAATTTTCGTATTTGAGAAACCGTCTATAATCTAGCTGATCTTTTCTTCACCGCAATTACTCAAAAAAAGCAAAATATACTCTCTTCACTGTGATCATTCCGTCCTTAGATTAACATAATGCAAAATAAAATAAATATGTAAAATAAACGAAGTATATTTCTCTCAAAAGCTCCGTTGCCACACTATATAAATAAACACTAAAGTTAGAATATCTGAATAAAA